GTGTACATACACTTGTGCAAAGTTCGGTTAGAGCTACATTCGGCCTGATTCCTAACGGATACGTAGGCAACCTCACATCGAGGTGCGGCCACATTCATATTCATATCCATGCATGATCGAGTCAAAGAATATCCAATGCTTATCCCTACCCATTTAGAGATAGACTTGGGGGCTTGAACCCAAATCACATTAGCTTACCCAGCCCAAAGAGTCATCATCTTTGACTCTTCTCACATCTCTTTCCATCGCCATAACCCTTGTAGCCAGCCTTAGTATCACATTCACACACTTCACTCACACATCCATATCCATATAAATCATCCTTCCCTTTAAGAGTCCTTTATCATGAAATCTTGTTTCAACACTGTGCATGCTTCAAGACAACATTCAGTAGAAGAAACATTGTATACTTGCTTAGCTTCCTGACCTGAGCAATGTTCATTGTTTCGCATAATGTGCTAAGAAACATATATATTTCAATGATTTTTTTATCATACAAAGCATATCGTGCTTAGCTCCTTGACCTAAGCAACGTTCAATATGCAATAATCCCTGTACGTGCTTAGCTTCCAGACCTAAGTGACGTTCAAAATCGCTTCTTTACACCATATATGATGCTTAGCTCCATGACTTAAGTTCATTCATCTATCGTGTCACATGATGTAATTGTCCTTAGCCTCCTGGCCTAAGAACATGCATCATGCATACATTATTTTCAGGACAAGCAATTCAATCCATACGATTTATTTCGTCTTGCTCAAGGAGGAATTTCAAAACTTCTTTCCTTTTTCATTATTTTATTTTGGGGAAGTTCAAAAACTTTTTCCAAGTTTTCATCGAAGGAAGTTCGAAAATAAAAGTTTAGTTTTCACATCTTTCTTTTTCGGGAGAAAGTCGGTACCCTCCACTCATGACAAAATTTGACGGAAAATTTTTGCTTTTGCATCTTCGTTTGCTTGTGTCTGCACACACACATACACACACACACACACATACACACACTCACAAGTTATACACATGTCATGTCACATCAAGTCAAACTTGGTCAAGTTAGTGGTCAAGTCAATCACAGTGTATACGAGTCCTTTGGCAAATTTATTTTTGCAGGTCTTATCTACAGCCACGTCCGGGGACAAGCGGACCATCTACAGCCCACGTCCGGGGACAAGCGGACCAACTACAGCCCACGTCCGGGGACAAGCGGACCATCTACAGCCCACGTCCGGGGACAAGCGGACCAACTACAGCCCACGTCCGGGGACAAGCGGACCATCTACAGCCCACATTCGGGGACAATCGAACCACCATCATTTCACGGCGCAAGGTTCTCGATACACAGAGACTTGCAATCTCATCATCTTTCAACTTTCCTCAGGCTTGGAAAGCGTTATCAGTGGATTTTTCTTCAAGTATAGAAAACCGCCAAGTCGGCTTTCCTCAGGCTTGGAAAGCGTTATCGGTGGATTTTTCTTCAAGTATAGAAAACCGCCAAGTCGGCTTTCCTCAGGCATGGAAAGCATCAATAGTGGATTTTTCTTCAAGTATAGAAAACCACAAAATTCCTTTGTCGGCTTTCCTCAAGTGTGGAAGGCATTATCGGTGGAATTCTTCAAGCATAGAATGACACCAAATTCGTTCGTCGACTTTCCTCAGGCATGGAAAGTATTATCCGGTAGCTTTCTTCAGGCTTAGAAAGGTACCAAACTCTTCAGTCGGCTTTCCTCAAGCATGGAAAGCGTTTCAACCAATGTCACTCGGTAGATTCTTTCAAGCATAGGAAAATACCAAACTCGTTTGTCACCGACACATTGGTGCCAGATATGTATTCTATCCCTTTACTCTTTTATCTGTAGAACTAACATTTTCCTGCAGGTATCGGTGTATACAGAGTGATTTAGGATCGCAGAACGTCTTAAATCATTCTCCGTCCCTATCGACTACTTTGACTATCGTTTTTGAAACTGACGTTTCTACAAACTCAGTCAAAGTGGGGGTTTCTGTAGACACCTAAAAATGTCTCCCCAAAACCAAACCCGATGATAAATAACCTTTCACCGCCACTATTGGTCGGGTTTAGTATTTAATCCCGAGAGTGCTTAAAAAATCGTATTTTATTCATATTTTTGAAAGGTCTATGGATCAATCTTGGTGTTTGGTAAAAGCATAGTTTTAATTTGTTAATTAATTTTAAGCCCATACCTTTTTATTTTATTATTTTATTATTTATTTTTGGCCCAAATATTTTATTTATTTTTATTTTTATTATTTTATTTTAGCCCGAATAATAGAGTCAGAAAAAAGGCCCGAAATTATCAATCGGCACTTAAAAAGCCAAAAGAAATTAGGGTTAAAAATGAATTTAAACGGAAAAAATGGACTGGAATTGACCGTGTCACGGTACAGCTTGACCGTGTCACGGGAACTCTTCCCGTCTGACGGTGGGACTTCCCGTGAGACGGGAGGTCTGCCGTGACACGGGAAGTTTCGTGTCCTTTCTGCGTAAACCCTTAACGCGTTTTCCGTTCCGTTTTCTGAAAAGTTCCCGCGTCACTCCAAAACTGACCGTGTCACGGGAACTTGTACCGTCTGACGGTACAGTCTGACCGTGTCACGGTACAATCTGACCGTGTCACGGGATACTTTTTTTTAGGGGTTTTATCATTTTAGGGTTCCGTGTGCTCCCTCCGCACATTTCCCTATAAATACCCCCTCATTTCTAATGTACGGGGCAACCAGAATTCGATTATTCTTATTTTTCTCTCTTCTATGCTCTTAACCTAAACACTAGCCTACCCTTTTCACTTCAAAATTCCTTCTTCAAGCACTCAAAGGAGTCCATATTTTACTCGAGGTTCTGTCCTTAAGCCTAGGCGTGAAAGGTAGAATCGTTTGAGGGTTTGGCCCCCAAAATCAACCTTATTTAATTTAATTTAATTTAATTATTGTTTTTATTATTTCCTTGAAGTTACTAACTCGTTTATTATTTTGTAGTTGCAAACAAACAGATTCAAAGTAAGGATCATGCTCTTGTTACTATTGTTATTTTTCTAACGATGTTTATGTTGTTGGAATTATGATTAAATTGGTTTTTATATTAATATTGATTCTATTGTTTATTTTGATCACCATATTGCATGTTTAAGGGGAATATGTAATTGAAAATCACGACTAATAAGATAATTTGGACAACCGGTTTAGGTTCCCTTTTAATCTTATTATTAATTGAAGTGATCACCAAATATTTAGAATTATGTGTGCATTAATTTTGAACCAATTTAGTTAAATAATAGTTTGGAGCGAATTGAATTATTGTTTGTATGCCTTTGAGATCACAGGAATGCTTTTCAATATAAGAATCGAGTAGAGGCCAATATGGGCGAATGTGACTCCATGACTCACTTCGTACCATCATCCCCGATACTCCTTTCGTGGTTCCGAACCATATGGAGTTAGTAATCTCATGGATTATGAATGGGGTGTAACCTTCACGGGTCAATCGTTGTTGCCTATCGTTGTCCCTTATCGTGGTTGCCTTTTTATGATCCGTGAACGGTTTACAAGTTCCTAAAAAAACTTGTTGGCGGCTCCCTACTTTATTTGTCCCTAATCGTATATGTCAATTCCCACTTCCTATGAGTGCCAAGCATATTCAAAACATGCTTTTAACGTAGGCGCACTTCAAACGACGCCTGCAGAACCGGAAGCAGTGGCGGATCTAGGATTTTCAACAACGGGGGGCACCAATATCCACCAACATAAAAGGAGATAGACGATTTTTTTTTTTAAAAAAACTTTTATTCATAGAGGTAAATTCATAATGTAATAAAAAATTTCAATCATAACAAAGTTCTACTTACAAAGTTACAATTGTTTTCGTCGAGTTTTCATATTTTAGAATCGGTTTACGATAGCATCTATGCTTACATTCAAAAACAAATCTTTTTCTAGACTAGTAACCAAACAATAATTCAACAAATGATCTCCCATTCTATTGCGCAATTTGCTTTTAATTTGAGTCATTCTTGAAAAAGCTCTTTCAACACTTGCTGTCGCCACAGGGAGAAGCAACACTAACTTCAAAAGCAGGTATACTATCGGATGAGTTTCACTCTTTTGTGTCTCAACAAGTTTCATGGAAAGCTCATTAAGGTTCTTCAAATTCAAAAATCTCTCATCACTTTTTATATCCACAATAAAATTTTTAAGTGAATCTTCCACAAAAGAAATTTCAACACTCGAAAATTCATTGGGATAAAATTTAGCAAGTCGAATCAATTTGTTAATGTCAAAAGAAGAAAATTGGTTAATGGGATTGAAGCAAGACATGCATATAAGTAATTCCTTACTTACCTCATCAAATCGATAATCAAGTTCTTGCAATTGTAGATCAATGACACTTGGAAAAACTTCGACTCAAAAATGGTGAAGATTAGTCACTTGTGGCCTACCACCACGAAATTGTCATCTCCTTGGTACAACATACTTTTACTCCATGTTAGGAATTTCAATGTCATACTTAACCATAAATGTGGTTACTTTTTCCATGTGAGAATCCCAACCATCATCTCGTAACTCTTGTAAATGTCTCTTAGTTACATCCACCATTGTCATTGCATTCACAATGCTTGATCACTTTTTTGTAATGCCATGTTCAACTCATTTGTAATACAAAATATACTCTTCATCAAATGTGCCACAAAGATAAAATCAAATGTCATCAATAAGTGAGTAAGTGACTCAGCTTTATTCCTATCAACACGATCAGAAATAGCTCCAATGTCATCAAGTGACTCAAGAATCATGGGATACATATTAAGCACATTCAAAATGATTCTAAAGTGAGAACCCCAACGAGTGCCGCCGGGTCTACTCAAGCTACGCTCCTGATTTAAACCAGTTCCCGATTCAAGTTCACCCAAAGTTAGTGCCTCCACAACATGTTCAGTCTGTTTTTGTCGAAGAAATTCTTTTCTCTTAGGTGAACCACCCACAAAATTTAATTATGGTGCAAGCACATCAATAAATAGCCACTCACAATCAGCATTTTTCTTAGCTATGGCAATAAGAGTCAATTGGAGTTGATGGGCAAAATAATGAACAAAATATGCAGATTCAGATTCACTTTTAATTAAAGTTTTAAGGCCGTTAATTTCACCTTGCATATTGCTGGCACCATCATAACCTTGACCATGAACTCTAGAAAAAGTGAGAGAATGCTCCATAAGTAAAGATTCTATAACAGCTTTTAGTGTAAGAGATTTGGTATCAGCAACATGGATAATACCAAGAAAGCGCTCAGTCACCTCTCCTCTTTTATTTATGTATCGCAAACAAAGAGCCATTTGTTCTTTATCAGATATATCAGCAGAATCATTAGCAAGAATAGCAAAAAACCACTTCCCAATTCATCAATTATTGCTTTGGTTGTTTCTTTTGCACAAGCATTAATGATGTCTTTTGAATAGTAAGAGATTTCATTTGAGAGTTACCCGGAGCATTTTCAAGAACTACTTTCCGAATATTAAAATTTTTAGTTGGAAGAAATTTCAGAAGTTCTAAAAAACTACCTCGATTCGACGAAGACTCACTTTCATCATGACCACGTTCGGGTAACCCTTGAAGTAATAACCACCTCAAACAATTAATAGAAGCTTGTAGTCTCTTTCGATACTTACTCATAGTATCCTCAGTTTGCTTAGATAAACCAGATGCAATGGAACCCTTCTGATTTTTAAAAGCATTTAAATTCCCCAAAGCTTGATTGTGGGCACTCGTATGTTCTCCAATATGCTTATCATATGCATCTGTTTTATTCCAAGCTCTTAATCCACCACTTACAAAAGCATCTCCACCCAGTGAATTTTCATTCTTGAATAAATAGCAAGGAAAACAAAACGCTGCATCCTTTTCAACACTATACTCAAGCCAAGATTTATACTTTTTAAACCAATTAGGGTTAAATTAAAACGACGCATTTTCTGCCCAAAAGGTCTTTAAGGAAATTCATAGTCTTTAGGCTGGCAAAGTTTTCTTTGAATATATGCTCTCCTAACAAGATCCCTGTCATCTGGATGAAACTCATATATCTTTTTTTCTTAGTCCCAGATCATGAGGAAGATTTACAACATCAACCACAATTAATCTTTCTTCATCGTTTGGAGCTTCAGTCCTATGATTTGAACTAGCTCCAATTTCTGCTTCACTTCCTAAATTTTGAGGGCTATTTTCAGAATCTTGAGATGGAGGATTATCAATTGGTTGAGAAATATCAGGTTAATTTGCTTGAGATTGGGGAGGATTAGGACTAGAGGTAGCACCAGATTCTATATGAACTCTTTTTGAAAAAAAACTTGTAATATCTCTTGTTTTTGTTTTCTTCATACTGTAATTTTAAATGAGTATAATTAGATTTTTTTTTACAATTACTTTAACAAGATACAATTATTTTGTATAGATTTATTATTAATTGATAATCCCTCGTTCCCTCAAACAAATTTACAATTTACTAATAGTAATAAAGTACCACCGTAACAAATTATTAATGTGCAATATTCAACATATTCTATAATTCATATCAATTTCAATTATAAAATTTATTAAAAATATCAACATTCAACAACCAAATCAAGGACAAAAATTAGAAGACTAAAGAATAACAAAGGATAGTAAAAAAGTAACTGGCCTTAATTTGGTAGATGTGACACCCACAAACAAGAAATAATACAATATTACACAAGAATTCGGCCAATTTTCACTTTCGTCAAAACCTAAAGGTTATAATTGTTGAATAAGGAGTAATTGCAAATTGTTGAATTTTGGGAAGTTTGAAAATTGGGAGATTTTAGGGGAATAGGGGTTAGGTGTAGAATCCTAGAAAAAGTAGTATTTATTTTTTTAAATTGTACTTTAAAGATTTTTTTATTATTTTTTGTTTTACTTTTTGTCACAATTGTCAGAGCCTCAAATAAAGGAAACTTACTACTCTTAGTCTAATGGGATGTTTTGACGGGAGAATGTAGGGGCACGCTTATCAATTTTTTTTTTAAGATTCAATCAAATATTTTTTAATAAAGGGGGGGGGGGGAACGTGCCACCCAGGACACTGTATAGGTCTGCCTCTAACCGAAAGACCAAGCTTATGACGAGTTGCAACGTAGGGTTGATGAATATGAGCGTATAGCTGAAAGTGCGCTGCCTATTCAGGATAATGTGGTTTCCGAGTTTGTAGGTGATTCACAAGGTCAAACTCAAATGAAAATTCAAGTGAAAACCACCGGTGGTGGAGGAGGGGTAAAGACACCGGTGAACAGAAAGAGTAGGGGTGCAACAAAAGCTTTCATGAAACCCGGGGTTCCCATGGTGCTTGATTTTGATGAGTTAGTCAACCTACTGATCAATGGCGCGACAAATTTTCTAGTTAAGTTGACATACTAACTCGTAAAATACCCATCACACTTGAGTGGGCCGATATACCTCACGGGTTGCTTCAAAAATTTTGGGACGATACAATGGTAAGTATGATGAGTTAGGAACATAGCGCATAAACTTCTCACGGGCTTAGAATCATAGCGCATAACCCGCGCATAACACGCACGAGCATAACCCGAGGCCTGCTGCAGCTTCCTAGCAGCAGCCTAGGCTGATTCAGCTGCATAGGCTGCTGCCTAGGCAGCAGTGTAACACCCCAATAATTCTCTCTTTAAACCTGTGAGGACTCTAAAAAATATTCAAGAGAATTACTGGCGTGCTACCACCACATGTTCAAACGTTAAGGCTTTATCAGAAAATGGCATCGGAAAAACTAACTCAATTATAAATAAGTTTCAAAACCAATAACCAAAATCAAATTAAATCTTACAACTTGGAACCATTAAGGCCCTTATTCAAAACCCCACAAAAGTAGTAAATAAATAAAACCAGAGTTTAAATAAATTCAAACTTATGAAATGAAATAAACTGCAAACAGTAATCAACTCTCCACTCAAAATCCCACCACCTTGATGCAAGTCCAAACTATGTAAAACACTTATGATCAGTCTGTTCCCCAATATTACAAGTGTAAAGATTGGATCATTACATGGTCATTGAAAGGCGAAGGCCATGACCAAAGAAAGACACATAAAGCACGCAATCAGCAAAGCTGAGTACATAGAAGCTGCAAAACATAAACGAAATCCCTAACATGCTACTAATAATCAATCATCACGCATCATTAGTTTATTGACTCGACACATTACTCAAGTATTTATATTACTAAGACTCCATTTATTTAATAATAGGTAAATCATTATTTTTATTCATTGGATTTCGCAATAGACAAGGTTGTCCAACCCATGCTCCATTTGGAACATCAATAAAAGAAAAACCCCATGCCTTCTTTCGGAAACATCAATAAACATCTAACGACCACGGGCGCGACTCCGTGACCGTAGTTAGTATGAGATCTCACCTAACTCCTAGTTTTAAAAATATATATTTGAAATAAGAGACTCGTAGATCAGACGACCTCGAGAAAAGTACACAGCTAATACCCCATGTACCCCAACCCCTGATTGTCATTACTCCAGATGTGCACCAATCCAAAGTTTTATTGCTCATCCATCTTGTACTTTACGTGATGTACAGGTTTAGACTAGTGATGACTCATATGCATAACAATACAAACATTCCAAAAAAAAATTCAATCAAACAAGGCAAGTTTCCAATTTCAATTCTTGATTTATTGGTGGCAAACAACATCTATTATTTATTCCTTAACTACCTCGGTGTATAAACACCTTGAGTGCAAAAGGCACCCCAAAACCTTAACATCGTCTTATAAGACTTGAATTCTTCCTTTACTCATCCTGTTTTCATAATCATGAATGAGTAATAAGTTAATCTTTACACCAATCACATACCTTTGCCTCTAAGCGGACCTTGCATAATTAGAGCACAAATAATACTTGCAATATAAAATAGTGCACATCATATGAAATTCACAATGTATAACCAAATAATTTAACCCAATCATCCCTATACATGATACTAAGTTCTCGATCCATCCTTAAACATACACCTAAAAGCAAGGTTTCGTAACTTGTACGTACCTTGTGTAAACAATTCGGTTGGCCACTTTAAAACTAGAAATCACCTTCAATAAACTCCTCTCCTAAACCGTACCAAACAATAACATCTCAATCAATACACATTCAATCAAATTTACAGCAATACTAACTTACTTTAAAACTTTCAAAATCCAAATCAAACAACACTTTAAAACCTCCCCTTTAGTTAAAATGAAAGGCTTATATATAGTTCTTTAAATTTTCTTCATAAAAACCTTAAAATACACTCTTATACATGAAATTACAGCAAGTTTAAAGTCTAATAAAAATCTGAAAATTATTTAAAAACCCCTAATAATCTCCCTTTTATATGGGTGATCACACCCTTTTTATTAAAATCACAATTATACTACTTTAAATAAAATTCCAGCATTTTAAACCAATCAAAAACCCTTTAAAACTTCATCAAAATACATATTTATACTTAAATTATCCATAAAAACATTAAATTATCTCTTACCCTTTAAACTCAAGGATAAAATTTAAAGCATAAAAAAAAACTTTGTTAAAAATCAAAAACCGCCCGAAAATCATATTTAGAGGCTAAATTTGGCCACGAAAGGGTGGTGCGCACCACCAAAGTTAGTGATTCTTTCTTAAAACGTTGTTTCCACATGGAAAACACTACTTTTTTTTTATCAAAATCGGATGAGTTCAGAACATGATCGGGATTAAAACGGGATTAATATTAACGAACGGAAATCTAAAAATTAAAACATGTATATAATCTGAAAATATAACCTTTTACCATCAAATTATAGATTTGATACTAATTATATCAATTTCAAACAATTAAATCAAAAACCCAAAACAATACTTATATAATTATGCAAATAGAAATAGAAATAAGGGGAAAAGAAGGAGAGGAAGAAGGGGAAAAGGTGGTTGTGGTGGCTGCCGGCAGGTGGGGACAACCGTGAGTTAATTCTCACGTAGGAAGAGGAGGAAGAAAGAAGAAAAAGAAAAGAGAAAAAAGAAAAAAGAAAAAAGAAAATAAAAAAGATAGGAAGAATAAAGGAAAAGGAAAATGAAATAAAATAAACTAAAATAAAATAAAGGAGAAGGAAACATAGAACTAACCTTTTGTGTGGCAAAATTTTGGGGATTAATGGGGTATTTATAGGGGAGAATGTTGTAGGGTAAGTAGAAAGATTGAGCCTCATAAAATTAATGGGCCAAATGAATGAAATGGACTAAGCTTTAGTTGTATTGAAATAGATTATATAATGAAGGTTCATAAAATAATTTGTACCAAAATAATATTCAATCCAATTTAATAACTTGAATATTTTGAAATTAAATTACGGAAAAATACACATCAATATTATAAATTAAATTAAATTTCATTTATAACATATTTAAAAATACGAGGGATTACAATCTACCTCTCTTAAAAGAAGTTTCGTCCCCGAAACTTAACCCAAAAACCATAATTTCTCCAAAACCATTCAAACTTTTGTGTTTTGTATTGCTGTAAATTGATTGATCCTAAAAATGTATACTCAACAAATTGAAATTCATACTTTATAAACTCGTACTTGGCCAAAGTTTACATACTTTAATTGCATGTAAACACAATGATATTAAGCAATAACGAGAAAAATCATGCAAAATTAAGCAATAAATAGCATGAATTAGGTAAAAAGTGCGAAATTATCGCTTTATTATGTTATTTGGAAAGCCATTGTTGAGATACTATGTGAATGATTATTTAATCGAAGTATGAGATCAAAAAGTTGAGAAATTATTATTTTGTTATTAGTTTAAGGCTCGGCGTTATAGACCTTAGTCCTTGGCATGTTGGTAATGAGATAATGATCATGAGTTAAGAATGAGGTACAATCTTTATTATTTATTTTTCTATGGTCCCCTAAAGTGGGAATTGACCCGTATGTGGTCTGGTTCAAGGTATTGTTTTGGTTATTGGGAGTATTCAAGTTTTTATACTTGTTGGGTTTATTCGAATGACCCATGTCCAAGGCTAGGTATAGAACAACGAGCGTGACACACTTATGGGTTATATGAGTTGATTGAGTAAAGGTTAGTATTCTTGTTCGAGGTTGAGTTGATAAAGGTTATTTTTCAGAGTACAATGTTTAATTTAGTTTCAAACTACATTGTTTAATTGAGCTAGTATTGTCAATTATTCAATTATACTCTATATTCCGATATGTGGTTATTACACAGCTTTTGCTGACGTGTATATTATTTTGTTTTGCTAATTGTGTTTGCGGCCATGTCTTTTTCTTATGGTGGCCCTGCCACGATCTATTTTGGAATTTGTCCTTAATGGTGAGCAGTCAAGTTTGTCTAAACAGGTTGATCAAGTGGTCGTAGCTAAAGGAGCTCAAGTGTTTCGATTAGTATGTTGTCATGAGTTTGTAAAGTTGTATAAATAGCTCACCTAGATTTATTGGGTTGTAGTCATTGGGATTTTTGTAAGCCTTAACGCTCGACAGGTTGTTGAGTGTGGCAGTAATACCTTCGATTTAGGAGTATGCTTCCGCAATTTTATTTTAAGGTTGTTTGTTTTTCCTTTAATTCTTGTTTATTTTCAGCTAGTAAATCGGGGGTGTTACAAGCAACCTGGGAGCTGCAGCTGCCTCAATTCACGTTTTTTTTATTATTATTATTTTGTTTTTTTCCTTGCCTAATGTGGATGTTTGCGCCTATTACAGAGTCTATTCCATATTCCTGATGAGCTAGACAAGAGAAAGTTCTTTGAAGCTTTTGTACAAGAGAGATTCAAAAACTTCAAAAGTTACTTGAGAACGAGATGGATCCATAAGAAAAGAAGGAAAAGACCAAAGAAAAATGTGACTGTTGCTGAAGAATAGGAGAAACCTAATAAGAAACCGTGGGATTTATATCCATAAATAACGGTGAAGGACTGGGAGAAGTTTGTGGAAAAATATTCCACTAGGACCGCACTTGTATGTTTTTATTTATCACTAGAGTAGGCTACTGAATTTTTGTTTACTACAAAGACTGATGCTAACATATATTTATGAATGTGTAGGAAAAAAGTGAACAAGCTAGAATCAATGCCAGGAAAAAATTGTATAGCCATCATATGGGTTGTAAGACATTTGCGGAATGTAGACCAAAGTGGATTAAAGCGGGTCTATACCCCAATTCCCTAATGTCATCATATGAGAAACCACTTTCTTACACGGTCACTACTTTGGTAAATCGTGCAATTGACTAGCGGTGTGCTACGTATGGGATCGACAAGAAAACCGGCAAGTATGTCATGCAACCGGATACAAAAGTAGTAGTAGATGCACTTGTAAGCAAACTTTACTACTTATTAATTATATTTTCATGTAAAGTACATCTTACTTAGAACCGATAACTTTTGGTGTTGTTACAGCTAGAGCAAACATCGAAAGTGATTGAAGGCAAGCTCACTTAGTAAAATGCTCTTTTGATATGATTTCAAACATTAGCACCTAAGACTAGGTAATATTGACATGTTATGATAAAGAATTAGTTCATTAGATAAGAAATGTAGAAAACAGGCAAAGTATAAGTTAAATAGCTGATTTTGGATAAAAGCCGTCCTAAAGCTTAGTAAAATACTATTTTGCTATGATTGCAAACATTAAACACCTAAGAATAGCTAATAATGACATGTTATAATATAGAATTAGTTCATTAGATAAGAAATGTAGAGAACGGGAAAAGTATAAGTCAAATAGCCGATTTTGGATAAAAGTCGTCCTAAAACTTAGTAAAACCCTCTTTTTTATGTGATTTCAAACCTTAAAAACCTAAGACAAGGTAATATGGGCATGCTATGAGAAAAAAGTAGGTCATTTTATAGAAAATGTAGAAAATGGGAAAGTGAGAACCCGAGGCAACTGTAGCACCAGAGGCAACTACCTCGGGTTTTGCCAGACAGCTGCAGCAGTAGCCGAGGCATATGCCCAAGCAGCTGCAGCAGTAGCCGAGGCATATGCCCAAGCAGCTGCAAGCAGCTGCCTAGGCATGCCCAGGCAGCTGCAAGCAGCAGCCACTAGGCAACTGTCCAGGCAACAGCAGCAGCAACCAGGCAACTGCCCAAGTAGCTACAGTAGCCACCAGGCAGCTGCCTAGGTAGCTGCCCAGGCACCTGCAGCAATCACTAGGCAGCTGCCCAGGCACCTGCAGCAACCACTAGGCAGCTGCCCAAACAACTACAACAGCCACCGGTGGCTGCTCAGGCAGCTGCAGCAGCCATGGAAGCATCCCGAGCAGCTGCAGCAGCCATGGGCATCAGGAGGAGGATTAAATTTCAGTAATTTTAGTCGTACCTCATGCAATTTTATGAATTTTTTTGCGTAATTGTTAGTGAATATGGCAAATAAGTCACTTACACCGATTTTGGATAAAAAGCGTACTAAAACTTAGTAGGGTGCTCATTTAATGTGATATCAAAACTTACACGCCTAATACTAGGTAATATGGGCATGGTATAAGAAACAAAAAGTTCACATGAAAAAAATGTAAAAAATGGGCAAAGTAGAAGTGAGAAAGCCGATTTTGGATAACAGACGTCCTAAAACTTAGTAAAATGCTCTCTTGATATGATTTCAAACATTTGACACCTAAGACTAGGTAATATTGACATGTTATGATGAAGAAATAGTTCATTAGATAAGAAATGTAGAAAACGGGCAAAGTAAAAGTCAAATAGACGATTTTGGAAAAAAGCCATCATAAAACTTAGTAAAATGCTAATTTGCTATGATTTCAAACATTAAACATCTAAGACTAGTTAATAATGACATATAATGATATAGAAATAGTTCATTAGATAAGAAATGTAGAAAACGGGAAAAGTAGAAGTCAAATAGACGATTTTGGATAAAAGTCTTCCTAAAACATAGTAGAATGCTCTTTTGATATGATTTTAAAAATTAAGCACCTAAGACTAGTTATTATTGACATGTTATGATAAAGAAATAGTTCATTAGATAAGAAATGTAGAAAACGGGAAAAGTAGAAGTCAAATAGCCAATTTTGGATAAAAGTCGTCCTAAAACTTAGTAGAATGCTCTTTTGATATGATTTCAAACATTAGGCACCTAATAATAGTTATTATTGACATTTTATGATAAAGAAATAGTTCATTAGATAAGAAATGTAGAAAACGGGCAAAGTAGAAGTCAAATAGCCGATTTTGGATAAAAGTCGTCCTAAAACTTAGTAAAATGCTCTTTTGATATGATTTCAAACATTAGACACCTAAGACTAGTTAATATTGACATGTTATGATAAAGAAATAGTTCAATAGATAATATATTTAGAAAACGGGCAAAATAGAAGTCAAATAGCCGATTTTGGATAAAAGCCGTCCTAAAACTTAGTAGAATGCTATTTTGATATAATTTCAAACATTAGACACCTAAGACTAGTTAATATTGACATTTTATGATAAATAAATAGTTCATTAGATAAGAAATGTAGAAAACTGACAAAGTAGAAGTCAAATAGCCGATTTTGGATAAAAGTCGTCTTAAAACTTAGTAAAATGCTAATTTGCTATGATTTCAAACATTAAAAACCTAAGAGGGATAATACTAGGTAATATTGACATTTTATGATAAAGAAATAGTTCATTATATAAGAAATGTAGAAAGTGGGCAAAGCAGAAGTCATATAGCCGATTTTGGATTAAAATCGTCCTAAAACTTAGTAAAATGATACTTTGATATGATTTCAAACATTAAACATGTAAGACTAGGTAATATTGTCATGTTATGATAAATAAATAGTTCACTATAGAAGAAATGTAGAAAATGGGCAATGTAGAAGTCATAAAGGCCTTATTTGGGAGATTTTGGATTAAAATCGTCCTAAAACTTACTAAAACCCTCTTTTGATGTGATTTCAAACCTTAGACACCTAAGAGTAGGTAATATGGGCATTCCATGAGAAAGAAATTGTTCATTTGATAGACAATGTAGAAATTGGGCGAAGTAGAATGTCGGCTTATTTGGGCCATTTTGTGAAAGAAACAAACCTATATATGTTGCCTTTGAAATATTTGACATACATTTAGTTTATATTTTATGTAATATGAATGGTGTTTAATTTTTTTTTTCCAAAGGTTTGCAAGATTCAAAGGGAAGACCCGTTAACAAGGCAAGAAATTGATGAAATTTGCGACATGTGGGCTTTTTTCGTTACATTTGATGGCATCTAATGATGAGTCTATTTTATATATATTTTATTCCTCTTCACACGGTCATATTTGTGCTTTTTTGAGCTCTGCGGAGCTATTTTTATTACTAATATGCATTTTCTCGTGTTTTTGTAGAGTTGGTATTATTGTTTAGGAATTTGGACGATTTCCGAGCTTATTGAGCCACTACGAAGATATTGGAGTTTGATCGTATTTTATGACCGTATATTTAAAGTCCAAGACCGAGTTAGAGAAATTTAGTCCGGTGATTAAGGGCTCGATACGTCCAAGATTTCACAAGTCATTATTACTATGGACTAACCAAGGAAAGAAATTGGGCCAAATAATTAAATAGCTCAAGCGTACAAATCCAAGCTTGCAAGAAAGTTACCGGACTTCAATCTCTGAGCTTCAACGCGGGTCCAATCAAGCGGATCAAAGCGAACTCGGGCCACTGATCTTGTTAATTGAGATTTCGTAATTGGGTAGGAAAGCAAAAAGTCGGTGGACTTGATTTGCTTCTAGGAGGAGTTTGAGTTTGAGTTGGAATAGATGTTTGATTCCTCAAAAATTATCCTTTGACTTTTCTTATATAAAGGAGGTAGTAGTACGTAGGAGCAGTAGGTAATAATTGTGAGCTTAGATTTAGTTTTAGGTAGTTTTCTTAGTTTTTAGTCTTAGTTTAGTTTAGTTTATTATTAGTTTTAGTTTTAGTTTTCTTTTATCTTTCTCTTTCTCTCTCTAATTTTTCTTTCTCTCTCCTCTTAATTAAACTGTTAGTATTACTTTATTTCTTGTTTCTCTCTCTACAACTCTTGGTTTAATTCCTCCTTTATTTAATCTCTTTCCTTGATCATGTCTTGTTTAATTGCTTTGTTTAGTTTATATTTAATTATGTGTGAGTAGTTTTCTTTCTAGGGTTTATGGGGATCCATAGATAATATGAAGGGGTAATTTACTGTTGTTAGTTGTCAATGCTAGATTAATTTCCTATTGATTGATTTAATGCTATGCAACTAGACATGCGCAGGTCTTTTATGTATGAGTTTAGCAATATTAATTCGAGATTCGAGAGATGAGAATTAATATTAAGGCCTAGTTTCTATAGGAAGGTTAATTTATAAATGGTTAAGTCGAGATTCGAGAGATGAGATTTAATACCGGTAGATTAATTATGTGATTGTAATACGTAGCGAAAGCCGTTTATGATCTGATTAATTGATGCATTGATGATTGATTATTATGTTTTACCTTGGAATATTATTTATTGGTGAACCTATGCCCTAGGTCTTTTATTCATTGTTTCTCCTCCTACTTTTATTCTTTCCCACTTTTACTCTTAAGTAGTTTAGTTTCCCTTCGATAATAATAATTTGTTACTCTATAATCTAGATTATATTAATTAATTAGGAATAAAAAAGACTCGTTTCCTTGTGGATTCGACCCTACTTCCCTATCTATTTTAGTTAGTGGTTTAAGGAATTACTTTTGATTAGGTGATATGACTTTGGCCTGTCATCTAGCTAGAATTAGTGAGCTTGAGTTTTTTTTTGTTATTATAAACAATATTTAGTTATTATTTTTTTATATGTACATTAATTATATATAATTAGTACGTATGTAGTATATATTATTTGTGAGTGTTATATATGTTATTATTATGCATTTTATTGTTGTTATGGTATTATTATTCTTAAATTTGTAATATTTTAATTATTATTAATTATTAATATTAATTAATAATAATAATAATAATAATAATATTAATAATAATAATAATAATAATATTAATAATAATAATATTATTATTAATAATAATAATTTTTTATAATGACAGATTAATATGTATATCAAAACAAATCATTAATACTACTCCCTCCATCCCTAAATTACATTCCTCCATTCTATTTTTGGTATTCCAAAATTACATTCCACCTTTCTATTTTTAGTAAGTTTTTTTTTCAAAATATCCCAAATACGCTCTATTTTTTCAGTTGTACTTTTAATGTATAATTAATGTATTTACATTTCACTTTTAATTTTTGGTTGGCTAATGTACTTTTTCACCCTTTAATTTTTCAAAATCCTTGTGCCAAATTACAATGAATATGATTGGTTAAAAATTTTCAATTAGGAGCATGTGATTGGTCCTTTTTTTTACAAAGGATTGATGACATGTCATGAGTTATCACTAATCTATCTTTGTTTTACTCAAAAACATTATTTAATGTTTTGTACTTCCCATTGCATTATCTAATTATTGTTATTTGTCTTATTCTTTCCTCCTTAATTCCCGTGTAAATTCCAAAGAGGAATGTAACTTAGGGACGGAGGGAGTATTATTATTAATTAATACTAATTTTGGAAAAAAAATACAAATGGCAAACAATTTGGCGCCAAAACCGCTTGCCATTACCGCTTGCTATTACACTTGACATAATATTATGTCAAGTGCAAATGGCAAGTGGTTTTGGCGCCAAAATGCTTGCCATTCTCCCCTAATGGCAAGCCCCCTAAGCCCATGCGGTTCAAAACCGCTTGCCATCAGGGGGTTTGAACCGCTTGCCATTACGTTTTTTCTACTAGTGTCTATTGGTGATGTTTTAAATTTCAAATACATGTGAAGAGTGTTGCATGACACATATTCAATATTAGGAATGATTTTTAACATACTTCCTCCGTTTTATATTAGATGATTACATTTCATTAAGACATGTTTGCCTATGCATACTTTATAATAATGTAAATATCTTTGATTACATATTAGCGGATTTTTTTCAAAAAATAGATGTTGAGACGAAACTAACAAGATCCCACATGACTATTTCTTCTCAACGCAAAATCACAAAACAAAGTA